CTCACTTTCTACTCCAAGCTCATGTCATGCACAAGCGCCTCCGATACAAACAAAACACTCCAAATGTACCACCTATCATAGTACCTATCAGCTAAGAATTGCTTTCTATGGTTTAAACCCTAAACTGCTTTCGTGTTATATGTTTTTCAGCTTTTTGATCCTTTGGGTCCCACGGGCTTGATCTACTTATCTTTTACCATTCTAAACGCTCATTATCCTCACAATACCCAGAGGATGTGAATAATGTGCTGGTTTGTCACAATCAATCACCTGCCACTTTGCTTTACCTGATCTAGTCCAAAGGCTGTCTCTGTATGACCCGACCGACTATCAAGCCAAGCTGATATCGTGTTGTCTGTTTCCCTCCATTTTTTTTTACTATCTTCTCTACTGCATATCTATCTCTTTAATTAGCTCTTTGTTTATGATATTTCGGAAATTACGGCCTCTGTATTTTGGGTAACGACTTTAGATACAAGGGTTAAGAGAAGTTATATAAAGACGAGGATTGTGGCCCATATATAGACAAAATAAATGAGAAGAAAATATGGCAGTGGGATCGTTACAAATGGAAAATATGAGTGGCAAACAAAATTGGGAGTAGATTTGTGATTAGTAGGTACTTGACATCTAGACTTATTTTAAGTGATCAGAAGAAGAAAAAGTGACCAATGAAATCTAGGAGCTTACATCTTATTGGCTCAAGGTGACCGTTGAACTGAAAATGGATCGGCTGAACTCTGAATATTGTAGTAGGTTTCACTGCTTTGACAGCTGTTGTATTCTCTTTGATATCCGACCCTTTCTCATAGTCAAACATGTCCAACCGAGTCAGCTGAATTGGTTCGTGGCTCGTGGTCGTGGCCAAAAGGTCAGACCATGATGACGCAATCCTCACTTCAAAGCTCAGCCTAGATTGTGGGTGGATCATTTACTCTTTCATACATTCTCAAGGTTATTATACTTGAGCACATCGACACTCTTCCGGGTGCAAAGGCTTGATGTACTTGTTTGAATCAGGAAGATTTAGAAGCTACAACGTCTAACCAAGTTTGCCACGGCGTGTGAACTCTTCTAGAGGTTTGTTGTGCAACATCATGACAGTCATTTAGTAAAGGAAGGAAGGGAGGGTGAGGGTAGGTAGGACCGTAGGAATTCCACAGGGTTCTACAGGACACTATCGTTAGTAAGTATGGCCTGAGTGCTGACTTAGTGGAGTGAAAAAACGAATTTGTGAAGGTATGCAGTTTCGAGCAGAGAAAGGTACGCAGCAAGGCCCAGAGCTGCCGCTCGAAAGGTGCAGGTGGTGAGAAGTCACTACGGATTCACCAGGCAAGACAGGAAGCTATTAATCCTCCCAAATGAACTCTATCAACTGCAATCTCTTTCTGGCTCCTGCCCATGGGCCGTGCTATCATTCTCCTCGGGCCGTGGTTTGGAGGAAGCATTTTCCGCAGGCCGCAAACATTTAAGAACGAGCATTACACTAGCACTAAGTTTGAAGACTCCCAGCGTCATAACTGACTGTTAAGTCTGTGGTCGCTTGCTATAAAATTTACCCTACGAGAGAATACGAGTTCTGCAAGTACGAGATTGTACAACATGAAAAGTAGCAAACGACGGTGCCCAAAACGAGTTCTCCCCGGGTGACAGACCAGGACCAACAGAGCTATGTCTAAGCTACCTTCTCCCTACATACTCATACGTCCCACTTCGTACCTCAAAGGATTCGAAGAAGGAGGTGCAACTGCGGATTGGTGATTCAGGATGTGATTCTTGATATATTCTCCCACAACGTGTTAGGAAGTAGCGATGGCAGAATGGACACTGGACTATGGACCGAGAACACTCGCATGATATGTTGCATGAACTGCAATCTTGGATAGTGGCCGAGGACTGAAGAGAAGATTCATCGACACGCGTGGGCTTTCCGGAGCCGCCTCTCTCTACATGTGATCGTTCGGCCCAAAATTGCGGCTCACTCGATATCTAAACGTCGCTGGCTAGCTGGCTAGCTGGCTGGCAGCTATAGTTCGAACAAGTTCTCGGAAGGTCGCTAAATCACAGGGTTGTCATTGGACATTCGCAGGGACGAACTGGAAGCCGAGAGAGGAATCTGTGCGGAATCTCAGACTCGAAGAGACGTCGTGGAAGCATATCGTAGAGGATTTCTTTGGCGTGTGAAGGAATCGACGGATGGAGAGCACGCATGATTGTTCGAGCGCAAGATTACGGCTCACTCATCCGATCCAACCAGGCATAGATGGCGGTAGACGCTCTACTGGGTTCCAGAAACGTCGCTGATTGCACAGAGTTCTGTTGATTGTTGATGACACGAGCTTTGAAATGCGATCGTCTCACAGTCACAACATCTTCCTGATCCAACACGTCATACTTCTCCCTAGCGACGTCGCGACTGTCCTCGGGCTGACTCCATTGCAGCGAAATGTCGTTCCCAGCACATAGTTCGAGCTCAACTGGATGTCCTTATAAGGAACTGCACATTTTCAGACGAGAGCATTTCATTAGAGACGTTTCCGCATGATATTGTTTAAACATCAACATGGCATCGTAAACATTGAGCAATTTAAAGTGAATAGAATGATGCAGCTGCATAATTCATTGTTAGTAACATTTATTTTTTGCAATATCTCATGTGACGGATGTAGCACTATTCAATGTGGACAGAAATGACAAAATTAGCCATCAAATGCATTTTTTAATTTCTCACTCTGATCTTAATTACTAATATAATTGGGCATCTTAGTCACTCCATATCTGAAACCAGCTTAGTTTTCATATATTTTCAAGATTTCAGCGCGAAATATTATGTTCAAAAGAAGAAAGACGAAGAATAGCTTTCGGCTTCTGTTTCTTTGTTCGGTTAAGGTTATGGATAATTCCCAGGTTTGGGGTCTACAATACGTTCATATCGTGTACAAGTTCTGTTTCAATGAGAGGAATTCCCCACATTATGATTCATACCTTCACTCAACCTTCAATGAAATATGAAAATAAAATTATAAGTTTTCTGAACTTGAGAATTTGTATACAAATAAAAGGGGTAAGGTAGATTAATATAATGATGTTGATGGATGATGGCAAATATAGGATGATCTACATCATGATTTTCTCCATGATCACGTTATATTTATCTGCAACAAACTTGAAGTATATCTGTATTATGAACTTTTTCTTTTGAGAAGTGGAAACAAATTTTGATGTAAATTTTCTACTAAATTGATATAAATGAATCATTTACATATCATCATTATCCTATCAATCTAGTACTTATTTACATAAATATTAAAATTTAAATTGTTCTCACTCTTTGAGCAATGACGTATCAGTTGCACTCTGGTTTATAACCCAGTCTGATATTTTAGTTACAAACATGGAAGATCAAATACCAATGCTCTTATTTTCCACTGTAATAAGTTTTTTACTTCTGGATTAAATTCATTGATCATTTTTTTAAACTTTCATGTCCTTGATTAACTTTCTGCAAAAAAGATGCGAATGTATTCATCGCGGTAATATTATTGTGTCTTATTTGATTCATTTTCTCGTAAAATATAATTCAAAATTTAAGTTAGTAAATTATTTCTTATACGTTGGTAGATATAAATGCAGATGTATATCTTAGTCACTATGATATACATTGAAGGACATGTGAATAATTTAACACTGCAAATGTTCCGAAACCAGAATTTAGGGTTATACTGATACTGATAAAATAAATTTGTTTTTAACTATTATATTTCATTTAGGATCGATATACTTATTAAGTTGAGTATCATGAAAAAAACTCGTATGAAAAAAGAATGAAGCAATTATCAAGTAGATCGATGTTAAGTGAAATCTTGATTACAAATATAATTATCTAGAAGAAGAATAAGGACCTGACAGTGTTGGATTTTTAAGCTTATAAAAATGCAATGAACGACTGTTTGTTCCATGTTTGGTTTCGAATCTACTTACTCACTTCATGATAGGCTAGAAATATATCTCCCTTTAAAGGATTGATAAATATCTATATTTGATGTCCAAGAAAAGTTCAGCGGGGGCTATACAGGTATTGTATAACTTTCTTGCCGAGTCATTCCCAAGATGTATTTATGAAGAGTAAGACGAGTGACGAGCGTATTTTCTACACGGAAAGTGTTAACTTTTAGGTCAAGAATGCACCCCCAGTTGCGGCCGGCGGTGCAGTATTAATTCGGTGCTCCGGTTGTCTCTGGAGTCCTATACAAGAAGTATCCGATCAAAATACATGACCTGGGGATCCTAGTCCCACTCGAGCGCTAGGCTTGCCTCTATCATGTCATGTAAATATCTCTTTACAGATGCACGCCCGGTCGATAAAGCTAAAATACTTGCACACTTTACAGGAGGATATACCTGCGATGGACGTGATTATGTCAAAGGGAATTCGGTCCCCCGCGTACGAGGCGGGCGAAGAGACTTGGTGCGCCATCCACATATCCGAACGCACTGCCCCAGAAATGGGTGCAAATCCAATGCCACGTCAGGACACAGGGTCCACGTAGTAAAGTCCAATTGGGTGCAGGCCGCGACGTCGAGCAGGAACGGCATGCACGCAGGATCCGACAGCAGGCGTCCGGATTGGATTGGACAATGATGACGGACGCCCGCCTTGGGGCTTGGGTTGGGGTCACGGCTTCCACCTGACGACGGGGAACATGGAAGGAAGGAAGGACGGAAGGAAGCGGCAGGCCGGGGGCGGAAGAATCTACGACGGCGACGCAGCAGTCGAAGGGCAGGGCACGGAAAGGGGGCGCGGCCAGCGAGCGAGGGAACGAGAGGAAAGGCGAAATACTGAAAATGGCGTGAGGCACAAAAGTCCGCATTAAAATAATAAAGGCCTCGAAGCGCAGGAGTGCGGGCCAGGCGGGGCAGCGGAAGCTGCAGGAGCATCCGCGAGCGATGCGCGTGTCAAAGCAATTGAATAAGTCATTGAGAGCTTGGCTCGATGGCGAGGCTTGAACCTTGTGACTTGGCTGCCTAGCTGTCCATTTTGTCCGACTGGTTCTCCTGGGCCTTGATGGTGCACACAATGGAGTCCGTGCGAGTCAGTGGGCGGGCAGACACAGCTAGAGCCCCCGCACTGTGAGCAGCCTTCAAGGGAAGGCCAGGGGCCGAGAGAAATGCGCTCCAACGGCCCGGCCCCGATGGGATGGCATGGCATGGGAGGAGGACGAGCAGCAGCTGGTTCGCCTGGAGGTGAAGAAGAGTAGAGGTGGAGTTTAGTGAGTCCAGTTCACAGAGGAGGGCGCCGGAAAAGACTCCTGACTCATGACTGGGATCAGACACATGATGGCGGATGACCTTTCTGCCTTCCTGCGCATGACTCTGAGCTCAGGTCTCATCTTGTAGTCGAGGTGAGCGAATGACTGTGTATGCTCGTAGTTTACATGTTTGTTGCTCGGCCTTCGTTCTGCCTCAAGTTCAGCAGCAAGCTCAGTCCTGGGCTCAGCTTCCCCCGTCTCCTCTCTCTCTCTATCTCCCTCCCTCGTTTCTATTTCCTCTCTCGTGCTCTTCGGTCCCGTTCGGTCTGTTCTGTAGGGTGGATGCTATTATGGTCTGTTGAAGGGCATCATGGGATGGGTTGGATTGGGACGAGCAGCTGGAATGGAGTGAGTCTGAAGCTCTTATTCGGGCTCGCCTCCCGCTCTTCGAGCTGCAAACGAAGCCGCGCAGCGTCGTGCGTCAGCTCCACAAGTCTGGGACGGAGGGATTGATGCATATTTACTAAGTTTACAGCCCCTTCGGTTGGATCCTCGTCGGCCTCTGTCATCATTCGTTCTGTTCGTTCGTCCGAGGCGGTGCTGTGAAAGAACGGGTCGTCGCTGGGTTGGGTTGGGTTGACTTTCGGGCCAATTTGCGAGCCCCGAACCGGGGACGGACCTGGCTGGGCCTTGATTCTTCAATTCGGCCTTGACCACGTCACGCCCTCCCGCTTGTCCTTGCTCGCTGCCTCGACCCCGCCCGGACAGCTAGAACGAGATTCCTGGAGCCCGCAGGTGGAGCTTATCTCCTCCTCCCCGCGCACTCCGAATTTTCCTCGCCTCTGCTGCCTCGGACTGTCGCTCGTCCCGCCCGCGCCCAGGAGACGAGGTCCCGTGCCATCTCTCGTCTGTGTCTCTCTCGGTCCTGTTGTGCTGCTCTCTTGGCCACTGGAGGCGAGCAAGCGAGCAAGCGAGAAAGGAAGGAAGTAAGGATAGGTGCCTGACGGCGGACGGAGCCGCAGCTGGAGCTGGGGTCGTTCTTCTTCTTTGCGTGTAGGGAGACGACGAAGTGCCGGCATTGTAGAGATCAGCGGTGTCACACTCACGCCTGTGCGAATAGTATCGGAATGAAATAGGTTTATGCTTGAGCTCTGGGGCGAGGGGGCTTTCTGCATTGAGTTGAGCGTCGGCCCGAGAAGGCGGGGAGGCAGGCAGTCCACCGAGGTCGGCCATAGCTTTCCTTCCCAACCTCGTATGTGCTCGCCGGAATGAAGGAAGAGAATGATCATGATACTGCCGAGATGTTGCAAGAGCCCGTGGTGGGATCAGAGCATGGAGTTTGATTTTTGGTAAGCAGTATGAGTTATGGTTCAGAGAGTGGAAGGTGGAAAGGGTGAGGGAGTGGCAGTGAGCACAGCAGGGTCGAGCAGGCTATGTAGCTGGAATGGAGTGCGAGCAAGCTCAAGAGTTTTCTCCTTTGGATTTTCCGGTAGATTTGTAATGCTCGAGAGTAGAAATTCCAGGCCAACTCCCTCATTTGATGTCCCGAGGGGAGCAAGGGTCTTCTTCTCATGGGAACGGCGGTCAAATTCTCGGTGGATTGAAACGGGGCCTAGCTGGGAATTTCTCATCGAAAGAAATTTTCAGCGCTGAAATACGTCCGAGAGATCAAGTAAGGTTTTGATAACAGTGCAGAAGGGGATATTGTCTGGTGGGTTGGGATTGTTGCTGGCGCAGTCAAACGAGGGAAATACTCCTAAGCGTGGTTCTGCTGTCTTTGTCATATTTCAAAGTCTTCATCTGTTTTTCATCACCCAGCGAGTGTGAGAAGTCTGAATGTGTGAGCAGAAATAAAAGGGAATTTCGAGCCATAAGAACCAGCTAAAGAACATCAAACGAGCTGTGAGCGGACTGGTCTCTTAGACTTAAGATTCACTCAAACGTCATTGCGTGTAACTTGTTCCTAGGACTGCTTTTTTGGTTTGCTGCCGTCGATATCGTCACACGTTTTGTAGTCTTCCATTCTCGTGATTACCCCGGAATTATTTTCGTCTTCACCTGAACGATTTTCTTACAAAGTGGACGAGATGAACGTGCTTGTTCTCTCGAGGGCCCCGGATCGACCTTCTGCTTTTTCGTCCTCGTTTGATCTCCTGGGATCCGAGAGCTTGGTCACTCGTCGATGTTTTCCTCGTTAGAAAAAGTGTAATGGGTTAGCAGTCCCCTGCATCAGACTGTCAATTTCCATTTGTTTTAATTGGAAGAAGGCCCGGAGTTTCCCGGGTTCGTCTTTACTCTGTTCGTATAGTGTCGCGTGTGCCCAGTTGTTGTATTTCCAGAGTGTACCTTGCGGTGGAGTTGACTTTTTCGTGCCACATGAATGTAAACCGTTTGAGCACTATTATCTGTTAAGGCTGCTAATCAACACTGACCTCTCAATTGCGCTGTATGTGGATGCAGTTAGGAGCCTTGTCGAATATGGTGGGAATAGACCTACCAGGAGTAGTTGCCCTTGGTCAAAATCTCCTCGATAAGCTGTCAGACGTAGGATACTCTGCTCAAGAAGTTCACTGGGAGAAGGAGAACTTTCTGCAGCTCGCGGAATTTCTTAAGGAAATTGTTCCCGTTGTCATCGAGGTCAACAAAACACGAGACAGTTCACCGGTTCTGTTGCAGGTTTTGGAAGGGTTGTACAGGGATGTGGAAAATGCGAATCAGCTGATCAAGATCTGCACCAGCAAAAGTAGAATTTATCTGCTCACCCACTGTAGATCAGTCGTGAAACAGCTCGAGAACGTGACTCACAGCATTGGACGGCATTTAGGTCTTCTACCTTTGTCGTCAGTTCAAGGTCACATTGCTGTGAAGGAGCAGATCGAGAGGTTGTCCCAGGACATGCAAAAGGCCCACTACAACGTGCAAGAAACCGACGAGAGGATTTGTAGGACTTTAGAACAGGATCAGGAGGCCATCCGCACGGATATTGCTGTGCAGACCGGGATCGTCATGGATATTGCCAGGACGTTGGGTATGGAAGATCTGCCACGGAACCCTGCTGCTCTCAAGGATCAGATAGAGCTCCTGCGGAATGACATGCAGGATACGAGTCAGTCTTATGACTTGCACATGGTCGATGTGATTGGTAATATTTTTGAAAACGTTGGGGCTCAGGTTAACGACCATCCTAGTCCCTCGGCCGAAATTCAGCAGCGTCTCAACTCGCGAATTGAACCTTTGTACGAGGCGTTCGTTTGCCCATTAACAAAAAATGTGATGGTGGATCCTGTGACTCTAGAGAATGGGCAAACCTATGAGAGAAGCGCTATCGAGAAGTGGTTTATGGTATGCAGGGAGGAGAACAGGCCTGCAAGTTGCCCCATGACAGGGAAGACTTTGGAGAGCATGACGCTGAAACCCAGCATTGCTCTTAGAAATACCATTGAGGAATGGACAAACCGGAATGAGTCAGCTCGGATTATCAATGCCCGGGTTCTTATCGAAAGCAGCACCAGCCAGGAAGAAGACCTGCTCTACGCCCTCAAAGATCTACACGCCCTTTGCTTGAGAAATAAGGTTAATAAATATAAAATCAGACATAATGAGCTGATTCCTCCTATTGTGGCTTTACTGAAGAATATGGAGCAAGTGCGGTTGAGGGCTCTCGTTCTCCTACGCATGCTGGCAGAAGACGACGACGATAATAAGGTGAGCCGTCTGGGCGCAAATCCGACTCCTCACTCAACCATTTTAAGGGTTGGATTGAAATTTTCTCGCAATATTCATTCTCACCTTTCACCTTTTTCTGTGGAATGTGATGGGCCCATCTGTCACTAAGCTCAGAGTGGTCAGACTTGTTGAAGACCAGAGAAATTCAGCAGTTGTTTCGGGAGGAAGGAAGATGTTCACCACCGGATTTAGCTTCTGCTCTCTTCTGAATCAAGATAAATTGTTCGAAACGGACAAGTTTTCTCGGCTAATTGTTCAGACGACTAGTTAGTCACCAAGACCACTGACATCTATTTGCAAAGCCATACATGTTGGACACCTTACAGGTCTCTGAATGTGCTGTTTTCCAGGAGGCTATAGGGCAAACTGATGCACTTCGAGGTATCTTAAAATGTCTATCGAGGACGTTGTCCGAGGAGCGACAAGAAGCAGCAGCCTTACTCTATGAGCTCTCGAAATCCGATAGTCTTTGTGAGAGAATAGGCTCAACAAACGGAGCTATTCTTTACTTGGTGGGAATGACCAGTAGCAACTCGGACAATGTCGTTGCCGTCGAAAAAGCGGAAATGGCTCTGGAGAATTTGGAGAGGATAGACCAGAACGTCAGGCAGATGGCTGAAAGCGGGCGTATACAACCTCTGCTACGTCGCCTAATCGATGGTAAGTCAAACCGCTCAGTGGAGTTCTAGGAACTTCATTAATGGTTGGCTGCGTTGTCGTCCATTTTAAAAGGGATGTGCCTTGTCAAAGTGTCTTTCAAATTACTCTGAGTGTTCCTTGTTGCTTTTTGACATGAACACATCATACTTACAGAGGGAAGTATGATGTGTTCAGGAGGGAATGTTCTCTACATGGCGTCTGAAGCTTTGCCTCATGGATTTTATCGCCCACAGTGATATGTTGATAATCACGAGATTGCTCTCAATTGATTCAGCGGTGGTGTAGGTCCTTGATTGAGGGATTAAGAGTGGAAGTTGCTTTGGTAATGAGCACGGGATGGAGAGGTCGCTAACATGATTTTTGTTGGTTTGTATCAGGTCCAGAGGACGTTCGCTTTGAGATGGCCTCGGATCTGGGAACGATCCCACTGACCACCGAGGTGAAGCAGTTGGTTGCAGAAGAAGGAGCCCACGTACTGGTGGACATGCTGGGCAAGCCTCATCCTCAAACACGCGAAGTCGCACTCAAAGCTCTCCGAAGCTTGTCGTCCATCGAAAGCAATGGGAAATTATTGATAGAAGCTGGCATTCTTCCCCCTCTTATGAGAGATCTTTTTATGGTGGGAGCAACTCAGGTGCGTATGAAGGAAATCTGCGCCTCAGTCCTGGCCAATGTCGTCAGCACAACAGGAGAGTGGCAAACTACCCCCATCGACAGTCAAGGCAACACTCTCATCTCGGAGCAAATTGTTCACAACCTCTTGCATCTGATCGGAAATACCGGTCCTGCAATCGGAGCCCAGCTTCTCCAAGTTCTGGTCGGACTGGCATCGTCACCTCACGCAGTGGCCAACCTTGTGTCCTACATCAAGAGTGCTGGTGCCATCGTCAGTTTGATCCAATTTCTAGAAGCCCCCCAGGACCAGCTCCGAATCCCTGCTGTCAGACTTCTATGTCTACTATCGACGCATATGGGCCACGAACTGGCCGATGGGTTGAGAGTCACCACTCGGCAACTCGGAACCCTTGTGAGGCTGTTGGGATCCAACGGATTGATCGAGGAGCAGGCTGCAGCCGCAGGCCTTCTGGCAAACTTGCCTGTGGATGACTTCCGCTTGACGCGAGCATTGTTGGAGGAAGGAGCTCTACAGATTCTGGTGTCAAGGATAGAAGATGTGCGCAAAAACGTTGTGAGAATTGGAGCTGGTCGGTTTATGACCACATTCCAGGAGGGTTTGGTGACCATTCTGGCTCGTTTCACATTCACTTTGGATGACCAGGACGTAGTTACTCTATGTAGAAAACACAATCTTGCAGTTTTCTTCAGAACTTTGTTGCAAAATTCCAACCTCGACGAGGTGCAGCATCAGTCAGCTCTTGCTTTGGAGAATTTATCCACGTTCTCACCTCAGTGCCGCCCGAGTGCTACCCAAATCGCCAGACCAGTGGGCTGCAACTTCTGCGCGTGTTTCGGGGCACCACCCAGGCCCAGTGGGCTGTGCCCAGTCCATGGGATGGCCTGCTCAGCGTCAGAAACTTTCTGTCTACTAGAAGCTGCGGCGGTAGATCCTCTGGTGTCGTGTTTAGATCATCAAAACGTGACCATCGTCGAGGCTGCTTTGGGAGCTCTGTCGACCATTCTCCTGGACAATGTGGACATGGAGCGGGGCGTACAAGTTCTTCACCATGCCGACGCAATAGCACCGATCCTCGATATCCTGCAGGAGCATCGGACGGAGATGCTCCGGCAAAAATCAGTATGGATGTTGGAGAGAGTACTGCGCAATGGGGACCTCGCTCGCTTGATTTCTGCAGATCCGCACGTTCACACGGCCATGGTAGACGCCCTGCGACATGGCAACGCCGTGTGCCGAGCTCTGGCGGAGAAGAGTCTCAAGCACCTGAACAAGATCCCCAGCTTCTCGGGGGTGTTTCAAAAGGTCGGACCCCCGAGGCGAGTCACCGGTCAATAGGAGTGCAGGGCAGAGTTGTGGTCCTTCCACTTTCAAATCCAGCCGAGGCTGGTCTGAAGTTTAAGCAGCAAGGTGCGCCAACTTGCACCTTGTATAACAGCGGTGGCAGACGCGTGCCACCGGCCGCAAGCCTGCCTGCCTGCCAAGCCGGAATTGTTCTGATGCGTTGTACTTGGATTGATTCCTTTCATACCGACGAAGCCTGGTGAAAGTGATGTTGATGAATTGGACGAGGGCTCCACGACTTCTCGGTGTAACATGTCAAAATACGAGTTGAACCTGAACAGCCCAGAGTCGGTCTTGGCGACGGATGCGCCCTCGGAGCAGCAGCAGGCGAGTTTGGTCGATCGCCGGGTTCATCGGTTAGGGTTTGTTAGATTATCTGTGATTACGAATTTAAAACTTAACTCCATAGGTGATAGAAACATCAAAAGATTTAGCAGTGAGACTAGGCCCAACCCCAACCCCATGTATTTACACCGAGCATTATACAAAAAGCTCCTCACATCGAGATGGGGTCAAGTGGGGCTGACCTTTCTGCCGGTAGCCGGGCTGGAGTCGTCGAATTTGCGAGCCAGTAGCGTCCATCTGATTGACCATGATCTGATCTCCGACTCTCAAGACGTCCCCTACCCATATAAGCTTACAGGTTTTTTTAGATGTAAGACTTGATTATATGTCAGCTCCATGTCAACGAAGGTGCTCTCCCCTCCATCTCCCTCTTTTTAAATGAAGCATATTCTTTAAGCGTATGTCAGTCAAAATCCTCCATTTCGAAGCTTGGAAAGCTTTGCGATTTGTAACCGTCGGCTCTGAGCCTGTTCAGTTGAATATTCAGACTACCAGCCCAGGCTTTCTGTGCAGGTTCTGTTCAGAATTTGTGCACCGTGTGTGTCATGTGTGTGTGTGTGTTTGTTTGGCCTTAAGGCAGAACTCTCTGGCGCACGTTGTCGCTTGCAAAATTGCACGTCGACGTTGTATCTGTGGACCGTCTCACGCAGAGAACATGCTTACGAGAACAGTGATCTCGAGCCAGCTTACGGACGGGGCTGGTCGCTCCAGTGGAAGAGCAAGGGCTCTATCCACTCGGATCCGCTTCGTCAACAAGTGAGCGTGTGTCAGCAATTCTTATCACAGAACCTGGTTCGCACGATTGGATGAAAGAAGTTTATCAAACTGCTGAGACCTGCATCTCCTTGAGCGTGTGAGAATTCTGAGCCCTCGGTGGAGGCTCGAGAGTCCTACTTTATCTTCTGAGTGAAAATCTCTTCGAGCCTACGAGATTGAGATTTGAGCGGCATCTACGATGTAGAATGTTGGCCTTTTTTGTTGCCATCCCGGTAGGCTCGACAACCACACGACGGATGAAGACACTTTCATGGGATGGTTTCTTCAACGGCAGAGCTTTGTCCGCTCCTCGGAAACTTGGAGAAAGCCCAAGGAATAATCGAAATTGTGAAGCGAATTGAAGGGGAATAAAAGAATACCGCCCTCCAGCTTTAAGGGAAACTGACGCAGAGTTTAGTAACTCAGTGCAAGAGTTTTGCAGCCACCCATGGGCTGTTAGGTCTGATGTCGTGTTTGCACTTCTTGTCTCCCAAGTACCTCACACGAAGAAAGTTGATCTTGAGCTGAAGACAAGATACCGAAACCAAATCCTGGCCTGTTTGGATAAAAAGGACCCGGGCCCACCGAGTGAGCCACTTTTGTTTTGGCCTCCACGAATTGAAACTCTAGAGTCTGGCATGTCTCATCCTTATTCGATCGCCTTCGAATTGGAGGCTAGCCAAGCCTCAGCCAATCGAATTCAATCATCAAAATCCAAAACATCTCCGCTATAAATACCAATGGGGACGCACCAGCTCTGGGTAGCCGCCGCCAAAGAAGGGACTCTGTGACGAGAAAGGAGAGAGAAGAAGATGGGGCAGGGTAGCTGATTTACATGTGAGGCGGACGTCGGATTGGCCGCTGGGATTCTGATTCTTCGTCGCTGCTGCTTGCTTCTGCCGGTGCTGTTGATGTCTATTGCTCGCCTGGTTCCGCCCGAGAGGAAGGTCTGGAAGGGACGGGAGCGGAGAGGGAATACGAGGAAGAAATCCGCTCGACTGGGGGAGTGGAGTGGTCGGGATTGCAGGTTCCCTTCGTTCGTTTCTGTCCAATCCATTGCGATCCGTTCGGGTTTAGTGCAACTAAATTCATGCTCTGCCGCTACTTTGTGAAAGCTGGGTGGTGCTAGACAGAGCCGGGCGCGAGCAAGGAAGGAGAGGAGCAGGGAGTTGGCGACATGGCAGCTGTTGTAGCACGGGCATCGGTGGCCCTGTGCAGCAGCAGCAGCAGCAGGAGGTGTAGCGCGGGAGACTCGAGCAGCGGTTTGGCATCAAGTTCTCTCGCAGGTCCTTCTTCAGCTGCGCCAGGGCGAAAATTGGGTAGCTCGGTCGAGAATTTGTTGCTTTGTAAGATAGTTCGGGGTGCTGGGAAGCAGAAAGTCGGTTCAAGGGTAGCGGCAGGTGTCGCAGCAGTAGGTGGTGTCCGTAGTGCAGGTGTTAATGTACAGAATGAAAAGAATGGGAAACAGAGCACCCTGCAGGAAAATGAAGACGCGAAGCTTTTGGATTTGAAAGAGTGGATGCACGCGAAGGGACTGCCGCAATGCAAAGTGCAACTGTTAGAGAGGACCTGCTTCGGAAGTAACGGAAAGCCTATTCACTACGTCGCTGCCAATGAGGATCTGCAGGTTCTTGTTTCTGCCAAACACATCTTGTTGCAAGATTGGTTTCGATTGGCCATTGTCAAAACTTTCTCTTAACTCTCTCTCGAAGATCAAGCATGAATCAATGGTTGATTTTCTTACAATGTCTTCTCGGTGATTTAGTTGATTTTTCGTATGATTGAACGGCTTCAAAGCTTGTAAATCGATGGAATGCAGTTGTATGACGTCGCTGAATATTGTTGGGCATGTTTTCCAGCCTGGCGATGTCGCATTGTCCGTGCCGCTACCTTTGGTGGTTAGTCTGGAAAGGGTCCTTGGAGACGAGACCTTAGGTATATAACCTGGCAATGAGTCACAAGCAAATTGACTTGCATGGATGTGGGCTCACATGAATGTGGATATGCTTTCTTTTGCCGCAACTCGAAAAGTCGTGTTATTTTCAATGTAGTGTAGTCGTTGAGTCTTCTTGTCAGATTTGGATGCGAGGTCTGTGTCGCCCAGTACACTTATCTTATTCCTGGCATTTGTAATCACTAGAAGAAGGTGAGATTTCATGTTGACCTGTTGAATCTTTGTATCGCAGCTGAGCTCTTGACAACGAATAAGCTTTCAGAGCTAGCGTGCCTTGCACTATACTTGATGTACGAAAAGAAGCAGGGCAAAGATTCTTTCTGGTATCCCTACATTCGTGAACTTGATAGACAGAGAGGAAGAGGTCAGCTTTCAGTTCCGTCCCCACTTTTGTGGTCTCCCCAGGAGCTAAATGAATACTTCACGGGTAGCCCAATGAAGGTGGGAATCTTTTTGCACATCACCGATTGCAGTTGAACTTAATTTAGGTCGGGCCGACCCACATGGCTACACACACTTCTGGTTAAGTTCAGTGTCTCCTTTCAGAGCACAATGTTCATTTCTGTATTATTGACCAAGATGTTTAGTATAGGAATCTTATTGCCCACTCGATTTGTGCAGAAAGTGGTGCTTGAAAGGCTTGAGGGAATTAAACGAGAATATAATGAGCTGGACACCGTTTGGTTCATGGCCGGCTCGCTCTTCAAGGTGCATTTCGACATCTTTGAAAACGTTCAATTTTTTGTAAATCTCCTGTGTCTTGTCACATCAGCGAGTGCTGATATGACACTTGCTGGATCATTTTTTCTAAGTCGGGGGCTCTCTTCCGATCATGTGAGGCCCTATTCTTCACCGAGGATTGGTTTTATTCTAATTCATGGTGTAACTGTTCGCAGCAATATCCGTTCGACATTCCTACCGAAGCGTTTTCGTTTGAAATATTCAAGCAAGCTTTCGTCGCTGTCCAGTCTTGTGTCGTCCATTTGCAGGTACACTTCTACAATCTTTCAATTTACCATTTGAGGAGTTTTGGACCGCAGAGCTAGAACATATACTGCTTGGCTTGGTGTTCACGAGTGGCCAATTCTGACATCTCCATGGAAATTATAGGGCGTAAGTCTAGCTCGACGATTTTGCCTTGTCCCGCTTGGACCACCCCTGCTTGGATACAAAAGCAACTGCAGGGCTATGTTGAAAGCAGTTGGAGACGTTGTTCAACTGGAAGTAGATCGTGCCTACAAAGCTGGAGATCCTCTAGTTGTCTGGTATGTTGTCCCGTCAAGGCTTTTCTCGATACATGTGACTTGCTCTTGTATCCATCAAGGCTAGTTTGTACGTATAATTTGGTCCTTTTTGTTACACTCATTTGTCCGTCTAGAGGCAAATTCCAAAACCATGATACCAGTCTCTCTCACTGATTTCTCCAATCTAGGACTTTCTTCTCTCTTTTTGTTGGATTCTCTAAAATAATAAGTGGGTGGATTTATATAATGGACAGGTGTGGACCCCAACCAAACTCGAGGTTGTTATTGAACTACGGTTTTGTGGATGAAGATAATCCCCATGATAGGCTGACGGTCGAGGTAAGAAATGTAAAGGGCGAAGATTTTTCGTCATGTATTTGGACCATTCTTTTGTTAATCAAGATTAGGTTACACGAGCATTTATTACACAAATACTTAAGTAGTCTTGTGATTTCAGGCTGCGTTGGAAACCAAGGATCCTTTGTATCAAAACAAACGAATCACAGTGCAAAAGCATAATTTGTCTACCATTCAAACTTTTCAGGTGAGTTTTTGGTCAAAACTTTGAACTATACAGACATATCTTAATGTGACCTTCTCATTCCCTTTTTCTTCTACCCTATTTACGTGTTGTCTTCAGGGATAGAGCTCGATATGAATGTTTGTCCAGCACTTGCGCTAGGTTGGATGAGCATCAAGGAGACTGATTGGTAATTTGTAAAAGATCAGTTTCGGACTAGCCGGGTGGACTGGACAGGGACGAAATGATACAAGTCCCGAGAGGTGAAGTTCTGTCAGCTGAAGTTTTGAAATGTTTTTGCAGATATTCAAAGGTAAGGAGCGAGATGCCATGCTTAGTATGCTACCGTACTTGCGATTAGCACACATTTCAAATCCCGAGGACATGCAAGCTGTTGGATCAGCCGAAGGGGCTATCTGTGCTACCGCGGTAAGTTTGACATCACGTTCTCTTGAACATACATGCGTTTTTTTTATGGAATGATTTGAACGGGGTGGAGGTTTTTCTGACCCAGATTCGATACACAAGAAGACCTCACAATCGTAGGCAAAACCCACGCAAATATATTCTGCTAGACAATCTCAGAGGATGGGGTAAATCAAGTTGATTTTTGTTAGGTGGAAGACATACTCGTCTGATGAAATTACTTTCTAGCTATATTGTTATTCATGATGCAATAATTGTTTATGAGTACCTTGTACCTCTCCCCTCTGCATGATCATGAATTTCAAAGTCATGAACATGATGATATTCTGGCATGTGGTGCAGGTGAGTCCGTGCAATGAGAGGGCTGTATTGGATCAGCTGAAGGCTTATTTTTCGAAGCGTTTGTCGGGTTATTTAACAACCGTTGAGCAGGATACCGTCGTGGTAAGTTGGCACATAGAAGAGCGTTGTCAGCATGCACATCGTTTCATGCCACAAATCTTTAAGTCGGACTGCAGTACTTTGCATTCAGCTATTAAGGTGTGTTTTGTGGTTAATGTGAGAATTGCAGATCGAAGATGAGAATGTCGATCCCAAGAAGAGAGTAGCGACTAAGCTTCTACGTATCGAGAAGGAGATTTTGGGTAATGCATTGACAGTAGTTAAGGAGTTAATAGAGCAACTGCCAAATGGCACTGTTGCTCCGTGTAATGGATCATATATCCCTAAACTAGTTTAAGCCTATCTGCACTGTGACATTGTTCCTTGATATTTTTGTGATGTCTCAACCAGATCTAAGTACTTTAGAGTCGAGCTCCTTTAGTCAAAGTTTTGTCTGGATGCTGGTTGTAAATATTCACGGCCTGGCCAACTAAAATGTAATCAGATCCTCCATCATAATGTGCATTCGCTTGTATAATATGATCACAATTTGGAGCTGAAGGTTCCGTTCATTCTCTGCTGTAATATTGAAGTATGGGTATTTGAGTACACTTTTGTGTACTCTTATGTTTCCTTTTTTCAGACTATCCAACTTAATATTCAATATTTTCCGATTGAGAAGAAGATGTTGAGTTGGATACAATGGCACTGACTCGAGTAGTAGCTAAACCCGTGCGTAGATTTGCGTGAAAGCACCCATTCCGTTTATGTTGCTGAAATTGGTAGATTGCTTGTTCAGCACGTACACTGCTACGAGAAACGCTGACAAAATTTCGTTGATTGGAGTATCGCTATCTTATCAAAAAAATTGTCCTTGCATATCTGATATCAGGGTAAAGTTGTGATTCTATATCTTTTTAATTGGATCATAGTAGTAGAGCTAGAGCTTGAAGTTGATCAATGAGATATAAGGATAACTAGAGAAAGACATGGATAATGTCAAGTCCGAGTTTATGAGCTAAAATTTGGACGACTCTTCACCTCACAATTGGGGCCTACATCTTTTCCGAAACCTTAACTGTCTACGTTGAGCTATAAAGAACAAAGTCCTGACTTCTTAAAATCCGTATGCTTGACCATGCTCACTTACAGCCAGAGATGTACATGTTCATCGAGACCTTTCCTTAAGGACGTACGTTAAGGATTAACGTAGCAAACATTAGAGCTTTGTGATCAACCGTGTTCTCCTCAAGATAACACTAATATACGCTTAAACGTTCAGTCAGCAAGTCCGCACAGAGAGAAACACTGGTCAGAATTCCCAAACGGACAATATCAGTGTCCCTCGGGATCATGCGGAATGCAAGGAATAAGTAGCCTAGTTCCACAACTAAAGCTGAAATTTACGTAATCAAATGTTGAATTAGATTAAATGATGTATCTGAATAAACGAAAACAAAGATATATAATGATAATAATCGTTCTCGAAATAGTTGAAAGACTACTGACAATCATTTTTTGAAATTATAGAACTTACTTCCCAGTATTTTTTTTGATAAAATGATAGCTAGAGTTTTATATTTGCAATATAAACCCCTAAATTTGAAATAACCCAGCTTATCAAATTCACATGGAACCTTATAATTGATGAGAACATGAACACTTGAAATTCTGAATAACTACGGAAGTATAGCAATATTCATGTGAACAAGAAAAACAATCCATCTATAATCAACATTTTAAACCATGCAAATTTACTTATTATTGACGTATTTACCTCAAAAGATGGTATTGTTATCTATACCACTCACATTTTGAACAATGAAGTCTTAGAGTACACACACCAAATGCAATCAAACACCAACATACCAAGGCAACAAGAAACTCAAGAATGCACAAACACTAGAAATATGTGGTTTATCATTGCGGGCTACATCAACGAAAATACCTCAGACTTTTTTGAGAAAAAAATCTCAAATTGTCATTTAGAGTTTCCGTGATCAATCTTATATAGTTTGAAACTGAAGAGGTTAACTGATTGATATTTAGATAACCTGGATTAATTCAAAAGCTGAGTTAAATCCTAACAATTTGTTCTCATGTCTTGTAAACTGTAACTTCCACTACCCCTAGAATTATTGTGCGGGACAATTTTGAAAGAAACATAACATATATTACTCTTAAAAATAGAGAACAAAATCATAATCCACATAGGTTAGATCAAAAGATATATAAAGTAACAAAAGTGCTAGTAAAGGTTTTGATTTTGCTATTGATGTAAAATCTCAAAAGTAACATAATGTTTACTTAGATTTTTTAATATAATAGCTTTGATACTCTCAGAAACTTGATTGAATTACCGTCAATTTTGACTAGTTCCCTTTATTATCAAAAACTGCATAAATGATCAAACCATCAAATGAATTTGATGTTGATGTGTTTTACTTTGCTTTTCATAACTTGATTTGGAGCAAGATTGAACTCACTCTCATCATCACAATGAAAACCTACAACTTATTGATTTCATTCTATCTATTCATTCAAATAGTTCTAATTTTGGTTTTGTTGCACTTCTTTATGAAGCTTACTTTGTTGATTGATTTATGTAGTTTGGCAAGAATATCACCAACTAATGAATCCATCATCAACTATAAACACATACTTAGTTGTAGATATTTTTTTCCCATAATCAACATTAACAAAGATTAAGAAGAATTTAACATTGTTTAAATCATCAACATAAACATCAAATTTTTAATACTCTTAAAATACATGAAAATTTTCTTCACATGATTTCAATGCATATTGTCTGGATTTTACATGTAACATGTTCACCATAGCTAGAACAATATCAAATCTGATGTATATCATCAAATACAATAACCTGTCCACTACTTATCATATAACATTGTTGAAATTTTTTCCAAAAATATCAATAAGACACTAAATTGCAAAAAACTTGAATTGTGTTGCCAAAGTAATTCATGTTTTTTTTAAAAATCATGTTAAATTTATAAAGTTATTTAAGTGCTACTTAAATTACTTGCTTTGACTTATTCATATTTTTTTTTCTTTACATATTTGTGAACATACATTCATAATATACTCTTGCATTAATCCAAATCTTTCATCTTGAATGCATCTGGTAACGTTGATTTGATTTTTTTTCAAACTGAATATGTAAGTCATGTAATATAGTAGATTAATGAAATTAAAGTTTTCATTACATTTTTCATTGTATACACATGGATAATAAATTTTTAAAATTTTTATTATCCTCATAAATTCATCAATTTTTGCATTTGATTAATTTAAAACTTGGTTCAATTTGTATAATGATTTTATTAACTTACATGATAAATATTTTTTGACTTGACTCTAAGTTTTAAAAGTATCTTAGTTTGTATGTGATGTGAGTCCAAATGTTGAATTTTTTTTTGATATACTTCATATATATAATTATGATTTCAAATGCATCAAAGTTTATTTGGACTGAAAATATTATTTTTTCAACATTTATTTTGTTTAATATAAATTTAACTGAATTTTTAACGTTTTAATTTAATTTATCAAATCATCACATAATTTAAAAATTTATGTATGCATAAGGAAATTTAGAACTTCTTAACGTTTTAATTAAATTTATCAAATCATCAAATAATTTTAAAATTTATGGATGCTTGAGGAAATTTAGAACTTCTTAACGTTTTAATTAAATTTATCAAATCATCAAATAATTTAAAAAAATTATAGATTCTTGAGGAAATTTACTACTGTGATGCTCTTAGATGTTTTAGATTGCACTTGTGTTATATTAATGATCTCAATGAGTTTACAAATTGGTATAAAAAATTTGATGCATTTTTTGAAAAATTCATTGTAATGAGTATAGATAATTGCAATGATTGATCTTCAATAAATGATTTCTAGAAAGTTTGCGTTAATTGAGTACCTGCTCTTTGTGCACATTGAACATTGCTCTCACCAATTGAATAATGAGATTAAGTTTTGGATTACAATGATGCCCATGATTTGCAATTGGTAATATTTTGAAATGTACTTGAAAACTTTTCATTTAGAACAAGTACACGTTTTAACAATGTTTATGTTGTTGAACAAATTGAATCTGCCAATTGATTGTTTAACATATATTTTCTTCTTAAAAAATAACTTAAAAAATGCTATGATTACATTGATTTGATTTCATAATCAGATTAAATATTGCAACAAATACGGATACCAATCAAATTCTCACATATTTTGCTACACATCAAAATAAATATATTATAATTCAGATCATTTTATTGTATAAAATATAAATCATTAATTTGGCTTTGAAGATTTACTTCTTGTTATTTTCTAGATTGCTTTTCACTTTCTAAATCTATATGCTATCAATCAAAGATTGATATTTTTAAAAACTTTACTAGCTTTCACTTCTTCTTATCAATCAACTTTTGCATCTCACATTCAATAGCTATATTCTATTTGAATTTATTGATAAATTCATAAATTTTTCTACAAGAAACATATCTTTTCCCCTTCCAAGATCAAACGCATTGCCATGAATATGTAAATTCTAACATCATTATTTTTAAGACTTAATAAATCAATTCATGTTCCAATCTTCATAAAAGACGTATGAATATAATTACATAATTTTGGTTTATTTTTATTGAATTGTAGTAAAAGATTTATAAATATGATTTGATTATATCATAAAAAAAATTTTTGATATACTTTGATTATTTGATGTAATTTTTTTTTGACGCTCATCAACACTAACTGCCATTTTAATTTTTTCTCTAATTATGGATACGAATATGCGTAATTTGTGCCAAAGTTTTTTATGTGTGATATAAACAAATTCATAATTATCAATATCTTTCTCAACAATGCCATTGTGTTAAAATTTTAGATATTTTATTATTCCAATGATCGAGATTCATAAAAAAAAAATCTTCATTGATAATAAGCTTACCACCTACAATATCATGGACCATCATATCATTAGAAACATATTCAAGAAAATAAAAAAATATGGTTTTATTTTCTCTTAAGGTAGGAACTATAATTAAAAGTTCTGAAACTATCATAATATATTTATTTGGGACTCAATTCAAATGATGTCAAGAATTATTTGTTATTACAATCATATCTGTTACAATAATTTACTAAAGACACTCTAATATTGACAAATTTAGCCCAAATTTTGTGAAATTTACATTGTTACATAAATATTTTATATCATCTTTACTATTTGAAATATAAAAATACACAATTGCAAATAAAAATTCTTGAATAGATTTTGTATTGATAGCTTGTCACATGATAATTTATGTGAATTCAAATGAATTTTTCCATTTTCATAATGATATTCACATCACATTGTAGAATAATTTTTGCTATATTCAATCAAAAACTTTACATTAAACATTATATGTTAAAAATTAAACTTGAAAAAAGTATGTATATAAATTGCGCATATCAATTTTCAAATTAAGCTAGATGATGTATTTAATTTATCTCAAATGTACAAGTTAAGATGCCAAAATTTTAGATAAAATTCAAAGATAAATAGCTGATCACATGATTTTCTTAAAATGTTAATGCTTTCATTGAGAATTGATACGTCTTTGAATTAATTTCTTAGAATGAAATATATCAATCTAGCTAG